ACATAACCATGTTGCAATGAACATTCACATTCGTAGAGTTGGAATTTCATCATGTAATGTATTGATTCAGCGATGAGTTGTTGTGTTGATGTCTTGATCTTTTGGGGATGCACATAAAATCTTGGAATACCATTCTGTTTGAATATACTTTCATATCCAGAATATTTTCTTGAATGAAACCTGATAATTCAGATATACTGGATCCAATGAAAATGTTATATAATATTTACATTATTTAATCTGCTTCCGTTTTCTTTGTTTGCAGAACTCTGGTAATCATTTTCAAAACTAATACTATTTTTCACTGCATCACTAGCAATTGGGTTTCACCAAAAGCATTCAAGTACTTAGATAACAATATATCTGTAATGACTAAATGCTAGATGAATGAATAATCATGATATCCAAAGAACAAATATGCCTTGCTAACACAATGTACCAAGTAACGTCTTTACACTGAAACTGGCATGTTGAGATTTTCTGCTTACAAAAACATGTTCTGTGACTAGATGTATGAATGTATTCAACTGTATGATGTGTAACTAATAACATTGATTTTATAAAAGTTTCATTGTTGCAATGAATAGTTTTTTATTTTTGCATAATTAAGCCATATATTTTACCTCAGTACTTTTTCCCTAAAATATACTTATGCATATAAAATAGCATTGATATACATTCTACCAATAGGAAAATATTTTATACAAAACCTATTTAATTTAATGTTTTTTACTTTTAGTACTTTATTCAAATTTCTTTAACTGAATTCTACCAAGTTTTATGATGGCTCAGCAGACTAACCTTGCAATTAAAGTTTCTCTTGAAGTTTCTATACTCATTCCATCAGCTTTAGTATTTATCTTGGAATTCACCCAAGTCATTTTCTTTTATGTTTTCATTCTGCTGCATTGCATATTTTAATACCAAAATAGATGAATAAATTCTGTCATAGACAACATTGTCACCATCATTGATGTTGCTTCTTCTCCTGACAAAATTCATCATATTGACATTTTTATTTTCCTGTGTTGTTGTTGCCACTAATGGTGCCATGAGATATTTTTGAAAATCCAAAAAGGAAATGTTTTTCTAGTTGGCCAACTGTCACTATTTTCCACTGCTGACCCTAGCTCTCTTTCTCCTATGGTTAGAAATTTTTAAAAAAAAATTGAAATATATATATTTATATATATATATATATATATATATATATATATATATATATATATATATATATATATATATATATATATATATATATATATATATATATGTATGTGTGTGTGTGTGTGTGTGTGTGTGTGTGTTCAAAAAAAGACATGTCTATCCTGATTTTAAAACCATTGTAATAGGTAACACTTTTTTGGCCATAGTTACCAAGGATTTGACATGTTATCAGTGCAGTATACCAGACCTGGTGTCAGCAATCAGCATTTGAATGGAGAAAATTGTCTTATCTTACTTTCCTAGAAATTTGTTTTGCTCAGCAGATTCAGTCCCACCATGGGACTCTTGTTAGATTGGCAAAGAGACATAGCTGTAGCTTTCTTCATAAAATTATCCTTGAAGGAAATAGCAAAATGCACATAGTGTAAGTAGAAAGATCAGATTTACAACAAATTTAAGTATAACTGAAGTGGCATAAAATGTAAAAGTGCATTTCACCCAGTTTTGTTTATTATGTTTGCCCCTATAAAAACAATATCACAGCTTTAAGGAGTGCAGAATTGTCAATAAAAAAACTATATCCTTGATTCTCCCCAGGTCAAGTTACTATATTGATGTGTTTATTATATACACTTAACATACATATAATGTTAATGAGACATGTTTTTTACATTGTTCTTATTTCAGTTTGATTCCTTTCATTACAGTACTGACAATGTACTTGCCTTAATGCAATGTTTGTTGTGACATCATCCTTGACAATAAAGAATCTCAGTATCATATACACATTTGACTCAGGCTTTGGAAAATTTGCTATTATAATGTTAAATGTGTTCTGGCAGATTTGGGAGCCATTGTATTTCAGTTGGTAGGGCATTGAACATATAATATAAGGATTGCCAGTTCAATACCCATCTAGGTTCTCCTACAGGACACTTGCCTCTGTTTGCTTTTGGAAGGGCACTGACCAACATTTCCTTGGTATGACATAATGCATTGAAAGCACTTAAAATAAACAACAACCCTCCATCTCTAGATCAGGCAAATTGTGGACATAGGTATAGTTTAGGTGAGTTGGGGTCAGTTTGTTAGTTGACAGCATATTTTTCTCATTTCTTCATTTGCCCAGGGCACAAAACTGTTCAGGATTGATGACCTGAGTTGTCAGGTATGCAGTATGGACAGCTATCTGCATAGGTGTGTTAGACTGGACATATCCACATTCTGCTTTGAACTGTAACAATGTGATTCAGTAGCAATATTCTGTATACTGTCAGTTTTATTTCATTTGTAATAATCTTGGGAATTGAAACGATGTATCAAATAAAGGGATTTTTATTTTCCAAAATGAAATTCTCTGGCACCTACAGTTTTCAAGGGAGCTCAGGTAAGTTTATATTGTCATGTTGTTGTTGTTAGGCTTAATGCCATTTTTCAGCACACAATGGATTGTTTACATGGCTGATTGTTTACATGTCGGATTGGATTGTTTACATGGTGGCCAGTATCAATGGTTGAGGAAAAAACCTGGGAAATCCATGGAATGAACCACCAACCCAGAGAAGCTACTGACAAGCTTTCTCACATATCCACATTTGATGAATCTTAGACTCAAACCCAGGAGACAGGTGAGATGGCATTGATCTGTAACAGATAGCCTGATTTAGACCCCTCGCTTTAGACCCCTCGGCCACGCCAGAGGGGTCAAGTTTATATTGTTATTTCTGGTAGGTACAGAATAGATATATATCAGCATTCTCAAACCAAATCATATTTTGAGTTGATTGTGATAACTGAACAAGAAATCCATCATGCCATACATTTTTGCTTATAAATAGTATCAAACTGCAAACAGAAAAGATCTGATCTGCCAGCTCACTATGTGGTGGCAGATCTAGGTCTGTACATTATTCACTTGGTCTAATCTTATAAGCAAGAGTATATGGTACACTCTGGGAAAATGAAGTCACATTTATGAAATTTGTTGAGAAATAATTGAAGATGGGGCACTATTCAGAGTATTTTGAATTTATGGTTAAGAAAAGTAGTAAGGGGGGGGACATTTCTGGCACTTCTAACTTTATTTTAAGAAAGCCATTTGGTTCATTTACTGATAGAGGAACCGTTGTGATGCAATGATTAACATTCACAACTCAAAAGTAAAAGGACTTGGTTTGGAATACAGTAAAACCTGTCTTGAGAGACCACCTGTTTTGAGAGACCAGAATCTCCACGCACATATTTATTTATTTTATAAGGTTACAACCTGTTATGAGACCACCTGTCTTAAGATACCATTATTTTTTGGTAGAAGGGGTGGTCGTTCAAGACGGGTTCTACTGTGTTGTCATTGCCTACAGTAATTTGTCCCTTGAAAAGATTCTGTTCAATTTGCCACAGCACTAAATAACATCGCTGTGTTGAGTAAACAACCAAACCAAACATAATATGTTGTGACTAAATATGTTGATTCTCTTTTTAATATAGATATTGATCCCTGTAGGCAAGACAGTTGGTATATTCAAAAATGTTTTTATTTTTTACATTTGTTGTTGCTAGAGAAGTTAGGGACATACAAATAGTTTTTGTTATTTGATACTGAACTCAATCTAGGTTGTTGTGAGGTAGGTTAAAATGTTTACATACTTGGGTCGCCTTTAAGCAGATCTTCCTCTAGTCTTCTTTTATTCTTAAAATTCCTTTGGATTAATACATACATGTATTATGTGCAACATTTGTGATTGGGAAGTAAATAAACAAAACAAACATTACTTGTCATACACTATTCTGTTTACATGGAAGTATATTTAAGGTTGCTTTTCAAGATTTTGAATATATTAATATTTACATAGAGCAGATGATGATACTGAAAATCAATACTGATTTACAAATGATTTACTTGTGGATTTTTTTTCTGGCCCTTTGAAAGGCTGCTTCATAGCCATCAGTTACCATGTGAGTAATGTTAGGCTTGTTACTTTTTTAGATTTTACAAAAGATATGGTTCCATGAAAACTGAAAGTGTATGCAATTTTCAAAACCTTTGAGGCATGTTCATTTGATCTCAAGACCTCTTGTATACATATTGTTTCCTTTTTTTTATATGGTTTAACTTAAAATGCCAGTTAGGATTTCTAAGGTCTTTTTTAAAAAGGGATTATGTGGTTCAGAAGAAAAACTCAAAAGATATCTCACCATTTTTTTTGGCATGTTACTGTCTTTTTCATGTGAAGGAAATGGAAGCCATGTGCCTCTCTCTGTCTGCGTGAGTTCGAGTCCAGACTCTGCTAACGTGGGTAAGTGAGAAAGCCTGCCAGTAGCTTCTTGTTGTCGGTGATTCTTCCTGGGGTTTTCCAGGGTTCTTCCTCCACCATTAAAACTGGCTGCCACATATAGCCTATCTTGTGCTGAAAAATGGTGTTAAACCTTATAACAATAACAATAAAAAAAACCCCTCAGTGATACAACCAAGCAGCCAACTCAATCTGGCCTGGACAGGTGACAAATAAGTAACCATTGGATTACAAGCCTACCACGAATTAGCAGATGGAAATGAATGCATCTACTTTTCTTCTGGCAGACATTTAAAAATGTATATAAAATATCACTTAAAAGGTTTTGGGATTGGAAGAATGGAATGTATTTGAATATAATGCTTGGCTGTTTACAGAAGTGTGGCCATATTCTTTGTAATATGTTACTGCTTTTTAGACCTCCAAAGGTACATCCTCCTGGAATCTGTTTTGAAACTGTTTGATGAATGCAAGACATTTTTTTTGAGAAATGAGAGACATATGATATAGATTAATCTAGCCTGTTTTATCAGTATATATTGCTCCGGTGGCCTAGTGGTTAGAGCGTCCGTCTCGGATGCAGGGAGGTCATGGGTTCGATTCCCGGTCCAGTCATACCAAAGACTTACAAAAATGGTACTAACAGTTGCCTCATTTGATGCTCAGCATTAAGAGGTTAGTGTTAGGACTGGTTAGCCTGGTGTCAGGATAATGTGATTGGGTGGGACATCATGCTATATGTCTGCGGCATGATGCCCCAGTGCTAAACATTACTATAAACTACCACACTGCAGACATTGTAGCATATGACTGAAAAATTGTTAAAAGCTATGTTAAAAATTATAAACACCACACCTATATATATATATATATATATATATATATATATATATATATATATATATATATATATATATATATATATATATATATATATATATATATATATATATATATATATATATATATGCTTCATCATGCTAGCATTTATAAGTTTGGACAAATCTAAGATCTTTTATTTGCAGTGTATAGACAATTCTTGGAAACTTCATTCCCTGACAGAAAATCAAAAATTAAATGATGGCATAAAATAATTTTATGACTAATCAGATGCAGAGTAAGGAAAGTTATACCATAAAGTGGAGGAAAAAAGTTAACTCGAAAGGGAACCATGCTCTTTTGGTAGACAAGATTACTTATATACAAATAATCAGACAATGTGTGTGTGAGGGTCAAACATTGTGATGTGATTATGATTTTTAACTTTGCCTTAACATTTTTTCAGTCATGTCACTATGATGTCTGCAATGTGGCAGTTTATAGTGATGTCTAGCACTGTGACATCATGCTGCAGACATGTGGCATGATGCCCCACCCAGTCACATTATCCTAACACCACAAAGACCAGTCCTAACACTAACCTCTTAATGCTGAGTGCCATGCGAGGCAGCTGTTAACTCCATTTTTGTAAGTCTTTGGTATGACTTGACCAGGGATTGAACCCACGACCTCCTGCAGTAGCATGCACTACTGTGGACACCAGGATGGTCATACGTTAGATTCATGCTTGAACACCACAACAAACTTACCATACTCTGTGTTAGGCACTAAGACACATAGACCATCTTACTTTGTGTTAGACACTAAAGTATATGTATAGACTATGTTACTTTTGTTAGGTATTAGCTAGGGTACGAAGATTATTTCCTATTGGGCACCAGCTTGTAGACTAAGACTATGTTACACACTAACTTTGATGCAACTTATAAAACACATTCGGCATTTGAATAAAATGAGTGGAATTTCAATGCATGTTATCTATTCCAAGATCAACTTAGTTGCATTTGTTTTGAAATCTTACAATAATGTTGCAAGACTGATTTATTAAACATTTTATTTTCGGTTTAGGCCTTGATTCTGTTTTCTGTTGAATGCAAATAAATTTATACTGGCTAGCAAATAACCAGGAAAGATTTTTGAATAAATATTAGTAAAATAATGTTTCCAGTTGGCCAAAGGTACCAATTTCTCATTGCCAACTCTTGCAGTTTTTTCCCATTGAAAACATTTTTAAAAAAAAAATCACATTAAATGTTTTATGACAAAAATCACCTCCATACCCTAATTTTTAAACTAGTGCAATAGGAAACACATTTGTGTGGGTGGGCCTTAATGATTTTCCTAGGGACTACAATAGTATGGAATAAATGCTCATTGTTTTAATTAGTATAGTGACACCAGTCATCTTTAAACAAGGAAATAATGATGAACTAGTTGTGTTATGGATAATTGAGTTTGAGATTTGCAGAAGATTAAAACGAAAGGATTTATTGAAGAATGATTAGTAACAAACAATTGAAATCACTAAAGTTTCTACATGTTACATGTTGTTTATCTCCACATTAATTAACCTGCAAAATTAAAGAGATACACCAATTGAGTGATTGACATTGCTTTTATAAACTGATGAGACTTAAGTACATGAGTGCAATGTCAGTGTTATTAGTTTATTTTCTAACCTTTTGTAAGTTCTCAAACAGAACTTACTGCCAGTAGCTTCTTGTGGGACGGTGTCTTTTTTCCCCGGTGTCTTTTTTCCCGGTGATTTCCGGTTTCTTCCTCCACCATTAATACTGGCCGACATGAATAGCCTATTGTGTGCTGAAAAATGGTGTTAAGCCCAACAACAACAACAACAACAGCAACAGAACTTACTTTTAAAACTACTTTGCTACTTTTAAAACATTTTTGCTGAAATTTTCTAGATATACATTCATTACATGTATCAGGATCAATCTAATAATATTTCACCATAAACTAACCCATATTTCCCACTTGTTTATCTAACCCATGTTACTAAGTATTGTATGAATAAATCTTACACAAGTGTTCTTTTGATTTAAAACTCTTGACCCTTTCCTGCTGTTAGGCACAACCTATTTATAAGCTAGGTATTTATGGGACTCTATCTGGTCATAAACATCCACTTGTCCAGCAAATTACTTTGCAGTGGTTGGAAGGATTTGAATGGAATTTTACCCAAGCATACACCAGGACAAAATGTTGTTACATTCCAAGGTCATGCCCCTTTGAGGTCATGGAAAGAGAAAGGGTTTTTTGCAACTTGTATCTTTCTGTAAAGTAACTTAGAAGCACTTAGGATTGTATAACATTTGTGTGTAATTTTGATTTTTAACATAGCTTTAACACAATAATTTTTAGTCATATCACCATCTTATTGACCAGTCCTAACTCTAACCTTTTAATACTGAGTGGCAAATGAGGCAGCTGCTGGTACCATTTTTATGTGCTTTTGGTATGATTAGGCCAGGATTCAAACCTTTGACCTTTTGCATCCAAAGCAGTTTCTCTAACCACTAAGCCACTGGAGCTGTACATAACATTTAAAACACTTTAGATAGCATGATATTTCAAAACTCTTAAGACATTTTAATGCATCTGTACTCATAAAGCATGGCTTGTCAGTATGTCTTTTTCTATAGGCATACATGCTGCTACAAACTCATGGTCAGGAAAGGGGAGATATAATTTTTTGTCTTGTGTAACGTGTATTTAAGTTACTTTAATATAACTTTGACATAGTATACATAATGACTGAACCATGCAGGGAATAGCATAATGACTAAACCAGGGAATATACATAATGACTAAATCAGGGAATATATTTAATGACTAAACCAGGGAATATATGTAATAACTGAACCAGGGAATACAAATAATGACTAAACCAGGGAATATATGTAATGACTAAACCAATGAATATATTTAATAACTAAACCAGGGAATATATGTAATGACAAAATCGAAATATACATAGCGACTAAACCAGAGAATATACATAATGACTAAACCAGGGAATATATGTAATGACTAAAGCAGGGAATATAATTAATGACTAAACCAAAAACCAGGTGACAAAAGCCAGATAACATACATGACAAAACCAGGGAAGTACATGACTAAACCAGGGAATATATGTAATGACTAAACCAGGGAATATATGTAATGACTTAACCAGGAAATATGCATAATGACTAAACCAGGGAATATATACAATGACTAAAGAAGGGATTATATGTAATGATGACTAAACCAGGGAATATACATAATGACTAAACCTGGGAATATGCAATACATAGTGACTAAACCAGGGAACATGTATAATGACTAAACCAGGGAATATATGTAATGACTAAACCAGGGAACATACAATACATAGTGACTAAACCAGGGAACATACAATACATAATGACTAAACCAGGGAACATAAAATACATAGTGACTAAACCAGGGAACATACAATACATAATGACTAAACCAGGGAAAATACCATACATAGTGACTAAACAATGGAACATACATAATAACTAAGCCAGGGAACATACAATACATAGTGACAAAACCAGGGAATATACAATACATAGTGACTAAACCAGGGAACATACAATACATAGTGACTAAACCAGGGAACATACAATACATAGTGACTAAACCAGGGAACATACAATACATAATGACTAAACCAGGGAACATACAATACATAATGACTAAACCAGGGAACATACAATACATAGTGACAAAACCAGGGAATATACAATACATAGTGACTAAACCAGGGAACATACAATACATAGTGACTAAACCAGGGAACATACAATACATAGTGACTAAACCAGGGAACATACAATACATAATGACTAAACCAGGGAACATACAATACATAATGACTAAACCAGGGAACATACAATACATAGTGACTAAACAATGGAACATACATAATAACTAAGCCATGGAACATACAATACATAGTGACTAAATCAGGGAATATACAATACATAGTGACTAAACCAGGGAACATACAATACATAGTGACTAAACCAGGGAACATACAATACATAATGACTAAACCAGGGAACATACAATACATAGTGACTAAACCAGGTAACATACAATACATAGTGACTAAACCAGGTAACATACAATACATAGTGACTAAACCAGGTAACATACAATACATAGTGACTAAACCAGGTAACATACCATACATAGTGACTAAACCAGGGAACATACATAATAACTAAGCCAGGGAACATACAATACATAGTGACAAAACCAGGGAATATACAATACATAGTGACTAAACCAGGGAACATACATAATAACTAAGCCAGGGAACATACAATACATAGTGACAAAACCAGGGAATATACAATACATAGTGACTAAACCAGGGAACATACAATACATAGTGACTAAACCAGGGAACATACAATACATAGTGACTAAACCAGGGAACATACAATACATAATGACTAAACCAGGGAACATACAATACATAATGACTAAACCAGGGAACATACAATACATAGTGACTAAACCAGGGAATATACAATACATAGTGACTAAACCAGGGAACATACAATACATAGTGACTAAACCAGGGAACATACAATACATAGTGACTAAACCAGGGAACATACAATACATAATGACTAAACCAGGGAACATACAATACATAATGACTAAACCAGGGAACATACAATACATAGTGACTAAACAATGGAACATACATAATAACTAAGCCATGGAACATAC